CGAGTGTGATTGGTATTAAGCGAAAGATTTGACATCGTCTTGCTATTTACAAAATCGAAGATTTCGTAGCACAAAATTTTACGATCAGAGTTAAAATTGACCCTGGATCCTGGATACTTAATTAACATCGCGAGCGTGATTGGTGTTAAGCGAAAGAATTGACATCGTCTTGCTATTTACAAAAGCGAATTCAAACGAGAGAATGGTAATCGCCTCGGACGCCCCAGTGGAATCAGAGTTGGAATTAAACGAGCACGAAACGCCTGTCCCCTCATCCTCTGTGTCCACTCGTTACTCCGATTTTTGCCACGTTTTATTACAGCGTTACCGTTGTTCCTGCTAACTCGAACAGGGGTTAGAGGGCTCACGGTCGGGCAGAGAGATCTCACGATCGGAGGGCTTTGTTTCGCGGCGCGAAATTTTGTTCAGGCAAACTTCGTAGAGTGTATCTCATGATCTCTCGGCTGTTCAAATATTCATGAGTGAACCAGCCGAACGAGCATATCCGATGCACTCCGAACGCATCCCAGACTCCGCTTCTTCCCTCCCATCCACGCCGGCTCTTTGACCTCAGCACCATTCTGCATAACGGTGCATCGGCCTGGACGTTTGCCTATTATGTCACTATATTCGCCAAAGGATGCTGTGTACCGTAACTATAGCCTGGATACGAGTTTCTCGGATTTCCCCAATCCACCGCAAGCATTATCACGCCCCCGCCGCGTATGGATCCGAGGAAAAACGAGTGACGGAAAAACGACGAAGGAAGGAAAAATGGGAAATCCCGCTTGCCTCGATAAACCTCGAATAATGGGAAACTGACGAGCTGACTCGCGGCGGGAACGTGTTTATGGTCTATCGACAAGTCTCGTACCGAATTCCTGTCATCTCTCTTTACGCGTTTCCTTCTGACTCTCGCAGCAAGTGCACAGTTAGCCGCTTGGCCGTTTATATCGGGAATAGAATTTAACGATGAAAATGAAAATCCAAGCACGAGGGGTTTGATTAGGGACAAAACGGTAGACAGACATCAACCCCTATTTAGAGGGATGAGGGCGTCCCGATCGCCATAAGGAAACCTCTATTACGCTCACGCTATAATTTTCATCCACTCGCTTCTACCTTTCGAATCGGATGCAGTTTACCATTATTGACGTAATAGTTTTATTCAAATGACCGTAATAGTGTATCCATGGAGTACCCTACCGTCGATTTATTCTCGCTGGATAATTTATCAATGATCATTTTCCTTTCGCTTTCTTCAATTTCCAACTCTTTCGTGTACGTTTCTACTCTCCTCGTTTATCCTATAGATTCGCTTGAACTTTGAAGGAATAAATAAAACGATATTCGCTACTGTCGAGGATATCGCAATTTCTAGACTAGCCGGACTACGTGGACTTTTTTACGAAAGCAGGAATAATTCTTATAACGCATACGACTAGTTTTTCTAGCGTTCTAAGACGACGGGAATCGCAGCCATAGCCTGTTATTTGCGATTCGTTTCGTACCTACGGATCATTCTACTCGTACTGTTTCGGGGCATACGCTCTCCGGTTTACTTTAGACTAATTGGCACTAATCACTGCTTGACTCGAGTTCATGGGAAAGAGGGAAGTACCGGCTACGAGACGTCCGAAGGTGTCTAATTTCTCTCAAAGACGAGGCCTCCTTCGTGCCTTCCTCCGTCTCGGGCCTCGAGTGTACTCGACGTCCATCGAGGAATCCCTCCCGCGATCGGGCTAACAGCGCGATAGATGGTTAAATCGTCGACGTCTCTCTCATCCGTGTTCTCATTCGTGTCCGTCGTGCAGCGTGGATTAAATGGCGAAAATCGAGCGAACGAAGAAAACTATCCTACTGTTAACCGTGCCATGCTAATAGGCCGAAGGAAAGCCGCGCACGTTCATCGGTTGACTCTCTGTTGGAGAAAAAGAATCGGCAAAGGGGAGAATAGTTCCGAGAACGAAGGGGTAAGACCGCTCTTGCCACTAAAGGCCGTTTACAGCCTCGAGAGGAACTCTCTTGCTCGCTCTCTCTCGCCTCCCATGAACCAGGAAGGTGTGTCAGAAGAAATAGAAGAATTAGAGACATCAGAAATCGTTAAAACGCGCATGCTCGCGTTACTCGCATGCCGATACCTCTTCTCTTCCTCTTTCACTCCAAGGTATTCCCTCTTCGATACTTTCTCGTTCGTTCTCGACGTGCACACACATCGTTTGCACACGCATCGTCGCATGCTGGCTATTTATGCCTATGTCTACTTATGTACGAAGCAGTCAGCACGTACGTGCCGAGCACGTAATATATCGCGTGTCCCAATCGAACTGCCACCCCTGACGTTCTCTCTTTCTCTTCTCGGCTCTTTTCTTTCCTACGCACAAACGAGCGATGAGGGTCTCTCAACAAATAGACCTGCCGCCTGGAAATGGTTGTAGCCTCTGCGAGCAAACACGTACAAGCGTTTCGAAGATCGTGTTATTTTTACGCGTTGACCACCGTTCTCTCCCTTTTTCCATCGGCCCTCGGCAAATACGTATATATCTCGGGAAAGCGTGGTGGTGGAACGCGGGATCGCAACGGGTAATATACGAAACCTTCATCAACGCGTATCACCCCGAGATTTCTAGACCTGCTCCAAAAACTTGGCCATCCACTGGATGCGCACCGCGAGTAATCGTTCGTTGCTCGATGGATCGACCTGGTCGAGGCGAACGCCGAGTATATCTCTACGTAATTCGTCGGCTAAATTGATCTTTCTCGTTAGCTACTTTGCTTCCAACGCAAAGGTAACAATCTTACTCGCTGGCATGGTACAGCCCGATGAAGGATTCCCCCTGATAATTGCACGTTCGATCAGCGTGTATCCTGCTCGAGATCGTCGATCGACCAGTCGATCCGAGTAGAGCAAGTAATTACAAACAGAGTGGACAAACACCGGCCGGCGGGTTTGCAACGGTAACGACCGGCCAATTCCCACCTTTAACCGCAATCATCGCCTTTAGCCTCTTTCTCCAATCAATTACCAAAGCGCCAGCTATTCTTCTCTCAATGATAGCCTTGAAATCGATTCAACCGAGCTAAGGAGGCTGGTTAAGAGCGATTAAGAAAATCGTCGCGAAAGCTAGTCGGCGAGACGAGGAGGAGCTTAGAAGCGGAGGAACGACGAGGGAAGGAGGAGGAAACGAAGAGGTCCGGACAAGTTCCTATTGCCGGTGTAATAATCCACGGCAAGAATGGTCATACCCTCCCGAACACGACGAGTGGTGGCATATACGTATGCAAAGAGAATACGCGTGGAGGCTGTTTAAACGCGTTCGACGGCGACGTGTGCGTGTGCCACCTTTTCCTTTCTCTCGCTTCCTTTTTTCCTTCCCCTGCAGCACCAGGAGGAACCGAGTCCTGCCAGTCTCTCTTTCACCCCCTACGGTCGGTGACTAACACACAAAGCAGACGGTGCCCTTACCGTAAATCGCCGGCATACGGAGAGAGAAACGAGGAGCAGCCACACGGTGGTGTGTCGGCTGGGCTCGTGCTCGTGTATACGTGTGTGCCGCTGCGTGTCTCGCTGCGTGGGCGACCCCTCAGAATCGCGTATCGAGTGCCGACGAACTAACAGAAAAGTGCACAGTGCACTTACACCTCCGTGGCGGACGTTGAATTACGATACACTTGTGAAAATTCAACCACACCCCCAGCTTCCGGTAGTCGAGTAGCGTTCGATCGAATATGCCTGGAATTTCAACCGGTGGATGAATACCGGGTGCACCTTGCGATTGGATAATCAGACACGTTCGATCCCGTGATTTGTTCGTCATTTCGGGTATGCGTGGTTGAAGTTTGCCTGAAAACACGAGGTATACAGCTCGCGAGGAAATAGCGGGGTCTCGATGAGCCCAACGCGCCCACTTTTTTTTCCACCAATCAATCCAGTGTGCAGCTATCGATATTCGTGACGCCTCTTGTCCTGCGCGATGACGATAATCCTGTCGTAAAAATGACATACGGACTGGCGCGGAGGTAATTTCCCTGCCTTATGGCAAATAGTATCGTCGTAACCGAGGATATATACCTAACGATTAATCCGGATCACTGCAGGACCTTCGTGTTCTCGTCCGCTTCCACGAAGTCAATAATTTATTACGATGGGCTTTGGCTCGAGCCAGAGTCAATATTGACCGTGCTGGGATAGAGGCTACGGCGCCGTTCGCCGTGGCCTACAACAAATTCAATCGAGAAGAGTCTATCCCCAAATATTTGCCACTACTTTCTCCGACTTGCTCCTCCCGGTTGCTGCGTAAAATCGAAAAAGGGAGGAAAAAGAGGGGAAAGAATGTTACGGGCATCCCAAACGCGACCGGACGAGGCAATCAATATCTCGATGATCAAACAAGAGCAGAGATCGACCATTATTACGCGCATTAAAGCTAATCGGGGAAAAACGCAACGAGAGCTGCCGAGATTTATTACGCTGCCCGAGCATTATGGATTTTCGATATTTCCTGCTCGACAGGAGAAAACTACTCCTCCCTCGGCCGTCCACACCGCCAATGAATGAACTTCGAGTTAACTGTTTGACAACGCGTCACCAGACACTTTCGTGATTTAGACCCCGGGCAAGTTCACGCGATATTCCGTCCGATCGAAATTCCTGGAAAAAGCTGACCAGCCGGCACGTATCTTATCGAGGCACGAGTCAAAGGAAATTTGGAAGATCGACACAGGAAATGGCACGATTCGTCGTTTCCTCGAGCGGAGAATCGTTTGCTGGACAGGATACCCTCGAGAGAACGTTCCACGCTCTTCTCGAACGTTATTTCTCGCGAATTCGAGAAAACTCGACACGTTTATTATTACACCGTACCGGTATATCATTCGCGATCCAAGAGACGCGACGTATCGAAGAAAATTAACGAGCTACGCGAAATTGGGAAATCTCGAAATATTCGTCGTACGAGAGAATAGTCGCGTATGTTTGTTAAAAGGATCTCCTGTCTTACCTCGCAATCGTACACATGCTGGGACGCTGTTGTTTCTGAATGAAATGCAGGTCAAGCACAACCTCCTTTATATTGGACTTGGACCGTGAAGTTCTCTCGTGAATGTTGAAGCACCATTAATACCCGAAGCAAACCAAACGAGCGCGCGTCAACGACTGAGTGGAGGCAGCGGGAGCACGAGTTAAGAGTAGTACGAAGAGTGTCGGTAACCACCGAAGACGCCCGAAGTCGCATTCGAAAAGCCGATTCTTGTCAACTCGCAACCCTACCATTTTCAACCCTTTCGTTTTATCCCTAATTAAGATCGGTAAACACAGGCCTCCGGTGACTTTTGTAGGTGCATCCCCGCGTGCATCAGATACCTTCTACTCACCCCGGAGGAAGTGTCACTTCCCTTCGCTAAAATTCTTCCGTCTGCGATTGCTCGAGCACCGAGCTCCAGCGTTTTGCGCGGATATTATCTCGTGGATTCGAGAATTACCAAGCATTAATTACGATTCCCGTTCTGCCTTGTGTTTTACGGGTACGAGGATCAGAGAGGCTAATTATCTCGCGTTTATTCGAATTCGTAATGATGCGAACGGAGATATTCGAGAGTGGGCCTTTCAAATTCTTCGAATGCCCGATCGAGAAACGAGAAAGATGAGAGTAATTACCATACAAAGTGTCGCAAATTAACTACGGTTGTGCAACGATGGTGACAGACCTGTTAGAGGTTGCAGGTCAATACCGACCTTTGGACTTCAAGAACCTATGCAAGCATCAAGGGGTCGATTTTAGGGTTTAAAAGGGCCTGCTGTCTCTTGCAGCAGTCAGTCTCTAATCCGGAACAGTGTAGAACGCTTTTAACCCTTTGCACTCGAGACGCGCCTCTCAGTCGCCATTTAATCAGATTCTAAAGATGGATGGTAATTAATATGTCAAATTTAGAATTATCCAACGATGAGTGGAATATCGAGGTAAAATAATTCTACGTTTTAAATTGCGATTTTAAATACGATTTCTTATTTAAAAATTCGTTTTAAAAATATCGTCCACCTTATGGCAGAAAGTTTTCGAATTACAATTTTCCTGTAACGAAAATAATCGCCGAATGCAGAGGGTTAAAGTATTGTGATCCATGGGCGCGTGTTTAAAGCTCTTGTTTTTTATATTCGCATAAGTGTATATATTTTACCCATATTAACCCTTTGGACTCGAAGATTTCTTCGTTGTGAAGATGCAATTCGAAGCTCTTCTTAGATTTTTATAACCTCACTGATACTCTTTATGCTAAAATTAACAAAATAAAATCATGAAGTTACGTGAGAAAGAAACGAATAGAATAATTTTCTTTCGATGTTCCTAATATAATTATCATCATTCGTTATTTAAGTTATAGCATAATAATTAACGAATAGAATTATTCAATTTCGATACCTCGCACACTGTTACATTATTTTAAATTTGACATATTAATTAATATTGAGCTTCGAAATTTGATCAAATGGTGACCTAGAGGCACCTCTCGAGTCCAAAGGGTTAACTTTATATATCTATTGTTGCATATCTTAATACGGTTATTTCCCTATAATCTCAACGATTATACAAAGCATATTTCGAATCCGTCCATTCGTTTCCCTTCACGGAACCCCGTGTTATGACCTAGCTTCAGTCACGAGCCTCCTGAAATATTACTCCAAAAGGATTTAAAGGACTCGGAGGTACACGAGTCCCGTAATCGTTGGTCCACCTGCCGGTAAACGACAGGTAATTATTAAAACACGAGGAGCGAGAGCAGATATCGGCTTATTACCGCTAGCTCTTAAAGAGGTCGAGTCCTTGAGACAGAAAAATGTTCGTGCACTTCGGGACTTGTTGCGAGCCCGAGATGCAACGTCGAGGAAGCCAGTGCATGTTCGTTCGTATTAACCGATACAACGGTACGCGATATAGTTTGTAACATATGAAAGGAGGGCCGAGCGTTTCCCACAGAGCATGTTCGCAATCGGGCTGTACACTCGTCGTGCATATCCGCGTGCATTTGTAATCGAGTCGGGAATGCCGTTGCACTCGTAAAACATGAATTATACGCGCGACACGGAATCCAACGATGTCTTTATTGCGATGTCTTTATACCGATATCGCGCACGCTGCGCGAGACATGTCCTACCAGCGTCTTTTCTAGACCCCGGCGAATCTCTCACGAATTCTAGGCTGCCTGCCCAGGGTGTCAGAACCCGATACGTATTTCTAGCGTTCCCTTTCAGTTATTTTCAAAAATAACTGCTCCGTGAGCCGGCAGATACCGACCAGATACCACGATAACACGTCCACGCTAACCACGCGCTTTCCTTCGCGTGTACGTGTCTTCGTAAACCGAATCCCAGTTCCACGAAATAGTGTATCTGTTGACACGAGTCATTTTCATAAACGCAGAACAACGCGCTTCGGTTCTCGGACTTGTCTCGAGTTCCACGCACGCTGCAAGGTAAAAAACTGCCCCGACAGATGTCGATGGAGGAACGCTCACCTCGAACGATGCAACGAGGAACGGTGGAAACGCGACAGAGGCACGGAGTGAAGAAGACAGGGAGAACTTGGAGTAGACGGAGGTTTAATTAAAGTTAGACCGGATAAAAAACGAGCACTATTTACAGTTTTTCGAGGAATCGGACCAAGAGAAGGCTGGACGATCGCGAATGCAATCAGCGCGTATCGGGTATCGTTCCTTTTTCAAGGCGTTACCCGGAGGAGTGTTTGACCTGGTGGAATTCCAGCCCAATCAAAGGACCTCTCCGCCGGGCTTCCGCGAGAGAATCTTCCGGCGCGAAGGGGAAGCTATCGATTGCTTAATCACTTGCCCAAGCTCCAGCAGCTTTTATTGCCCCTGGAACATCCAGTGGCAGCTGCGCCGCAGACAGCGCCAAGGTAATGAGAACTCACCGACTGCAGGAAGTAGCGCTGGAATAACACGTGCGACGATATCTTTCGTTCAAACACGCCCTTTATGTGTAAATCCAATTCCTCCACTTTACAGCCACTCGCAGGTAGTTTACCTAGCACGGACGAGCTGAGAGAGATACGAAAACGGGGCCACGAGACGTCCGAGCTTGAACATCTTATCTATATACCGTGGACTAAGAAGAGACTGGAAAGAACTGTCAGTGTTCATTCTCTCCACACATTCCTGAAGATCGAAAGCCCGAGTCGAGGTTTATTTCTCAGCTATCAGTTTATTCCTTTAGTTATTATTCCAGAGAATGGTTTATTCTTGTGCTACCCACGATTCGCAGACATCTAGACCTCCTAAAACACCACTTCTCTCTGCTATCAGTTTATGGTACGATTGGTGCGTTTTAAAGTTTGCCGTAGTCAAAGGGTTAATTATTATTCCAGACAACGGTTTATTCCTTACCTACTCACGATTCGCAGACACCTAGACCTCCTAAAACACCACTTCTCTCTACTCGTTCCTGAAGATCGAAAGCCTGAGTCGAGGTTTATTTCTCTGCTATCAGTTTATGGTACGGATGGTGCGTTTTAAAGTTTGCCGTAGTCAAAGGGTTAATTATTATTCCAGATAACGGTTTATTCCTTACCTACTCACGATTCGCAGACACCTGGGCCTGCCTCCAATAGTCAAAGGGTTAATTATTATTCCAGACAACGGTTTATTCCTTACCTACTCACGGTTCGCAGACACCTGGGCCTGCCTCCCAAGACATCACTTCTTTCCACTCATTTCTGAAGATCGAAAACCCGAGTCGAGGTTTACTTCTCTGCTATCAGTTTATTCCTTTAGTTATTATTCCAGAGAATGGTTTATTCCTTTGCTACCCACGACTCGCAGACACCTAGGCGTCCCAAAACACTACTCGAGTTAATCCTTACTAAAAGATTGAAAATCCTCAATAGACGAAACGATAATTATTCCGAATTCATTTGAGCCTTCATCTCCATCGAAAAGTCCAAACTTCATATACCCATTTTCTCTACTCGCTCTCAAAGGCCCGAATCTAGGGAACAATAGTTTATTTCGTTACGACCAACATCCCACGACTTGTGGACACCTAGGCCTCCCAAAACACCACTCGAGTCAATCCTTAGTGAGCCTTCATTTCCATCGAAAAGCCCGAATTTCATATACCTATTTTCCCCACTCACCCTCAAAGACCGAAGTCCCCTAGGCCCTAGTTTAGGGGACAATAGTTTATTTCGTTACGACACTAGCGGATACCTAAATCTCCTCAATACTATCCGACCTAAGTCCTAATAAAAAGATTAAATTTCCCTAAAAACCAGAAACAAAATGGCCGAATTTATTTAAACTTCTACCTCTACCAATAGGAAAAAATGCACCCACCACTTACACACTACGTCAACTAATCACAGCTACATCCGAATTTATAAAAGCACGAAGACACGAGAACTTGGACAGAAGCAAACCGAGAACAGCACTTCAAACGCATTCACTCTTGCATTATATCAAATAAAGTCTTACAAATCTTGTCAACTAGTTTGCGATTGTAAAAAGACACGAACATCGCCTGATAACTTCCCCGAACCCTCAAAAAAGTCAGGATAATCGTTTTCGTCGTCGGAAGAAGAGCCACTGGTGCAAAAGAAGAAAACGATAATGGCCATCGAACTGGATTCCTCGTCCTTAAAATCTCAGACGCGGCGAGGAAGCTAGGGGGTAGTAGGCAGATGGGAAAAGAAGGTAAGAATAGGAGGCTCGTGCGAGGCCTTTTGAACCCCTGAAATATTTAGCATTTCTCGATGCGACGGGCAGTAAATAATTTTGTAGCCGAGTCAAGACCAATGGGCTCGTTCCTTTTTCTCCAACGGCACGTGCATAAGATATGCATCACGCGCGCCTGCGACGCGGTTTTGCTCCCTTTTCTCGCGCCGTGCACGAATTCGAGAGCCCACAAGCCTTCGCTCTTTTCGATCGTAAATAAGCGCAGACTTTCTATATTCCCTACCCCCATGCTTCTTTTTCAACCGCGATACATTCGGCTCTCCACCGACGTTCCTCTGTCCACCCGGTTCCATTCCACGCACCCTCGTAGCCTTTTTTCCCCTGCCGTTGGCTGACCGACCGTTCCATGGCGCTTTCTTGACGCGTCATAAAAACGAGACAACATACTTTACGATCCTGCCTCTCTTTTTGTCTCGGCAATCTCTGCGCTACGCGTGCTCCCAACCGCAAAGAAACGCTTATTAACATTCGCTCCTATGCACACTCTCTCCCTCTCTTTCTCACTTTCGCGTTTCGCTCGCGTAATTCGTTACGACGATCGTTCCCCGAAGAGGAAGCGGAATAAATATCGAACGGGTGAAACGGGGAAAGGGAAAAATAAAAGGGGGAAAAATCGAGATCTTCGGTGACCGAATCGCGAGAGGCTCGACCTGTTTCCCGAGCGATCGTATCTTCAGGGAGAAGCAGTTTACCGTCGCATTCCGGAATAAAATTACGATTCTTTAATACCCCACACGTGATCCCGAGTCTTCTCGTTAATTGCGGTCAAGAAATAAAGTAACCCTCTCATCGCCGCGGTTACCATTAAAATGATTGCAACGCGCAGTACCACCTACCAATCTAATTCCGCTAAAACGCCATTGGCAGCGTGTTCTTTCCCCCTCGGATTAATCTCGCTACCGTGAAACTTGCCATCCACGCTTGTAAACGCTCGGCCATCGCGAAGAATCGTTTCCTCCGACGAATGCCAGTCCTCGGGACAAACCGATGACGTGTCCGTAAACAAGGAAGCATCGACTCCCCGAACATTCCTCCGTGTAATTCGCTGTGATCAAATTCGCGGAGTAGTCGAATCATCCTGGGAAAACATGTTTCGTAAATCCGAAGTGAAACCTGCGTCGAGGGCGCCACCCCCCAAGGGTGGTCGAAGAAAATCCGCGGCATCGAATAACCTATACCTATCACCGTCTCTGATCGGCAAGTTTCGAAAGTGAGTTACGACAGTCGATAATTAAAACGCGAAAATGAAATCCGGTAACGTAAAATCGGCGTATTTCCTGAGATCGCGAGGTGGACGTGGAAGATGGAGGAAATTAACGCGATTGGTCCTAGAGGATCAGGATTCCGAGGTCGGAAATAAAGCTGGTGGTATATCGGGTGAAAATTGTTAAGTATAACGCGATCGGTGAACCCACGGCGACGTCCGTGATTCGAATGAATAATTCATGCAATTGGACGCGATTGTCGGCGGAACGGTGAACCCGACTTTTGCCAAGTTCCTTTTTCCGGATCGCGATCGGGGCTCGATCGCTCTGGTCCCTCTGGTCGTTGTAATTTCTCGCAAATTGCCTGTCACGATGAATTAACCGATACACTCGGTTAAACGCGGCGCGTTTCACCTACGACGTAACGGAAATAAATGTTCCGTAACGGTACGTATGTCAATCGTGAATGATCAAACGGTAGCGTTCTATTAGAGGACTCGTTTCGTACACCGGTTCCCAACGGCGTGCTTGGCCTGGAGGTTAATTACAGGAGTATCTGGAGATTATCGTAGGCCAGAAAAAGCTCGATCGTTGGATGTGCTTACTCGGTAATCGTCGATTAATCGTCCTCCATCGTCACGGTTTTTGTTCGTGTCCCGGCGTGTAAAATAACCGCGAGCGCGATCGTCAGAGGTGAACCCCGTGGTAATCGTCGGGATGTTTCGAAAACTCGTTCCGAGCCCTTTTTCCTCCTCTTTCTTCTCCTTTTCCCACGTAGTTCGGTAGCTTCTTACGCAGTTGGTCCCCAGATTTATTAAAATGTCAAGCAGCGTAATTTTGAGCAGCGCAAGTGGGTTAAAAGGCGAGCCCTGTAAACGATTCGAGCAAAGTAAGAGGCACTTAACGAAGGTAACGACGAACAAACGAGCCCGCGGAGAGGAGGCAGGCATGGAGCACGCATCAGGCGTAACGACACCTCGCGTACCGAGCTCTCATCGTTACCTTAACACGCGATCATTATCGTCCAAGGTTCGTCGGAGGGAAGCAAACATCAGACATTTCGAAAAGCTCGTCAAACAACGCGGACAAGCAGTCACCAGCGGAGATCAAAGCCTCGAAGGGTGCTAGTAGACTCACGTCGAATCTCCCTGACGACGCGGCAGTCCACTTTGGCAGTTTCTACGGCGTCGAGCAGAACGAATCCCGAGTTGCTAGAGCGAAAGGTCTCCGGGAATCCGCACCTGCATCGCGCAAGCCAACTCCGAGGCTAGAATTCACCAGACAGATGGTCCAGAAGTAAACGAACGAACGTGTACTGCGAGGTATGCCGGATTAAGACACGGGCAAATCGTATTCCGATTAATTCCCAGACTGGAACGAACAGCTGGTACAGAGGACTATGCGCGACAAGTGTCAGCCTTATTGGAGGAGACGGTCGAACCGGCGCATTTCAAGCTGCATTCAATGCCGACCGAGAATTCGATTCCGGATGGTAGATACAATCCCACGGGATTCCCGCTCTGGTACAAGGAGCCTTATAAAATGCCGTTAGTATTCCTCCAGTTGGTTACGTAATTCCATCTATCCCGTTACCGGTGGGATTGCACGAGTTGCCGGAAAATGGGATAGACCGTGTGGCAGCGCGATGACGAGAAGGATTCTCTCTCTTCCTTCTCCATTAAGAAAGAATAATGCGGACACCCACAGGGGCGATAACGCGTAATAGGATCGCGCTCGAGTCCCAGTGGGATCGATCTGGCACGCTAATGGACTGATGAATTTTCAGCTTCGCCTCGGACGAGATTTACAAACTTTTGAAAGAGAAGTTCGATAAGACGGAGGGAAGGGCGAGGGACGTTTTCAAGGAGGATTCCTCCTCGGAAGCAAGTTCTTTGGAGGAATGGAGCGACAACGAGGAACGCGGGGACGGTGAAAATTATCGAGACGATTGGGCCAAGAGTTTCCTAGCGAGACAAAAATCCTCCGCGAACTTGCTCTCGAGCGGATCGTTCTCTGTTACCGAAGCGAAAGACACGGATTCCACTGAAAGCATCGAGATTCCTTTTAATAGGAAACATGCTAAATTAGCCTTGTTGCAACAGCGCTGAACTGTGAATTACTGCTCTCACGGTTGCGTGAGAAAAAGTGATTTTGAATATAAATTAGAAAAACATGAATTCCTCGTGTATCAACTAGCGCAACTAACAAAGACATAAAATAGAATTCTCGGCTGGTATAATAGGCGAAGGACGTATGCTGCTGCTCGTTAGGCGTACTTGCTTTTTCTCCTCCTCTTTTATTTCGAAATAGAAATAGACTAATTAGCATTTTGCTATTAATGGCCTGACCATTATCGGAAGGTCTATATTGCGATAGAGAATACACCCTGAGATTCATTTCCAACGTTAATTAGAAGCCTTGACTATTACTCGGTTCCCTACCCTGTAATTATGTGCAACCAAATTGCTGTGAATCTAACGCTGTCGTGAATTCATTAATTAACGATAGAGGCCTTGCGAAAGGACGAGAAACGTATAGTAGGTGACGTACAACCGGAAATTTTATGCACCGTACTTCCGCCTATTCTCACCTTTATAACTTCATCTATTTCTTTCGCGAATTTCTCATTACGTAACGTTACGAAATAATGCCAATTACTTGATTCAATTCAATGAAAGCAAAGAAAAAGGAAAAAAAAAAAAATTCATCGTACAGAGGCAATGAAATTAGAGCTATTCTATTTTAAGAATGAAATGTAAATTGAAATTTGAAAGAAAAAAAAAGAAAGAGAACTTGAATGGTTAAACGATGAGGAATTATGGTTAAAAAAAGAAAAGATGGAATTCGATATCATAAGCCAAACGAACGATACGACGTGGTTTCCCGTTTACTAAAAGAGGGTGGCATTACCCGAGTCGGAGTGTTCGCATTGTTTTCGGTTCAGTGGAAATGCAAGAGGGCGCAGGATGGGGTCGGCACTTATCGATTATTCCGTCTACTAAGCCAAAGACGCTTTTCATGTACCTTTAACGTGATCGAAAATTAGATTTTTGTATGAAAGAGCACTTTGAAGAGGATAAGGAAACGAGGCTGATCAATCACACCCGAATGAACTAAAAGTATAGAAAAAGAGGAAAACTTGCGAGAAATTGTAAAGGAAAAACGTGATTCTTTTCAGCGACGATTCGAATATCCATTTCAACTAGAGAGTATATTTATATACATTGGTTTATTTCTTCGTGAAACTGTACAGAATGGTCCACAGCGAATCGGAGACTTATTTTAAATAAGTTACTTAACCATTGAGGCCATCAGCTTGCTGAAGTATCGTATTACTGGGCGCACCGGATTAACTTACACCTGTGAAAAAAGGGCATAGTCTGATGAATATTATACGCAGTTCACGGTTCGGCGACGCGAAAATCCATCGATCCATTCATAATCCAATGCAATCTGGTGAATGGCAGTTTGTATCCGAGACTAAACTCTGTTGCATTTAGAATAAATCGCTGTACAAAGCTTTAATTAAAAATCTATCCGCTTCTTCTATCGTTCCCTTCAGAGGAAACAAAAGCAACCAATCCCATGAAGAGGAAAATTGCACCACTGTCGATGATCACAAGAAACTTGCTCTCCTCCAATCTCTTTCGATCCTTGAACATAATCCAAGGCTATTGAAGTACAGTAAAATATATCGGTTGATTCTCATATAACAATATGCGTTTCTCGTCTCTGTACTTCACGTAGTACGAATGATTTTTTTTCTTTTTATTTTTTATTTTTTGGAGCTTAACACGACTAGCTCCCGTCAGACTGATATTTTCGAGGCCTTCCCTAGGTCTTCTTCCACGAGTAGTACATTTCCAGGGGTCGATTGACGCGCCAAAATTTGTCGTTGACCTGCCTCAACGTCTGAGATCCACTCAATACCACTAATTGACCAGGAGAAGGTGCTATGTAAATACAAAAGTTCAGTAGCCTGTCTGATTCTGATAATTCTGTGTCCAGATCCAATGTTAACCGCATAGCCAGGTACTTGCTCAGGTGGTCCACTACAAAAATTCGCAAGGATTATTTCTAATTTCTTTTCGAATTTCTGCTTGCATTTATTCCATGTTACTAAAAGCTCACCTGTTGCATTTGCCGTTGTTTTGATATACCGTATACTGTTTTCCTTCAGAGCTTTTATGAGGGAATTATCTCCGGCCATTTCCGTAGGATGTGGCTTGAAAACGAGCTCGATCTCGTTCAACATCAAGGGCTCACTAGGACCTTCACCCTCTGTGTCTACCATGGAATCACCACCACCAGTTTCAGCCTCTGCACTAGATGAATCATTCTCGGAATTTTGTAAACTTTTTTGTCGTTTTGGTGGCTTGGGGATTTGATTTGCTGGATTTGGTGAAGGTGTGGTAGAGTTTCTGGAGGTTGTACCTGAAATTGGCGAGTTTACTGACATCGACTCCATCTATTGAATCATTAATTTACCCAATATTAGCGAAAACGTAATAGCAGGCTATTAGAAGCTAAATTTGACATTTAAATTACCCCCACTACTATTGTTTAAAGGTCCTGTTGTGCTTTGAGAGGAATCGCTTTGATTTGCAGCATTCGTAGCATTCGGCGTGGCAGGTGCACTGGCATTTTGAGAGTTATTGTAAGACGTGGCGTTGCTGGCATTCTCTGACTCATTGGCATTTTTCCTAGACCTCTGAGGACGATTTTGACTTTGCAGTTTGATTCCCTCTGTAATAGAATTCACCAGTGCAGCTTGCGAATGTGACTTATTCAGTTTTGCTAGTACTCTTTCCTGATGTGCCTCGTACTCGTCACGACTGGGATATATTTTAGAAATCAACAGATCAAAATTAGGATCTGGCCTGAGAGATCTCTTGGATACCAGTTTTTTCCTGCACGTTGGACATTCCTACAAACAACAGAATTTGATGTCGATGTCTTGCATATGTTTCAAAACCATCCATTCTAACCTCTATTGATATTTAAACTCGCTAAAGATAATCACAAAATGGTAAAATCCAAATCACTGTCACAAAAGAACTCACACTGAACGATAAATTAAATAAATAATTAACTTCATTGAGCATTCCAAAATAATTATTTATTAACCTATACAGACCGAAAACTACAAGCTATTCCAACACTGAAGAAGAAATCTAAATTAATCAGTAATTGATAAAATACTCGGCTTTTGCAAATCAAATTATCTAAATAATAACGTAAACATTGCGACGCAACACGGAGCATCATTTACGACGCACTTCAAAAAGCGCGCTAAAATCGCAGTATGTGACAGAAACAAATACAAAGTGCAATCATAGTCTATCATTCTCGTTTAAGCGATTACCTTAATCATTCACTGTACATTATCCAAATCTGCATATGAAAAGCACAGCCGTATTTACGTGGAAATGTGATATATAGAAACATAGAAAAAAAAAACAGTGACAGGATATTGACCAAGTGTTAGAGTCTGCTTTCTAGTGGAACGAGAATATTTCAAAAACATTGGGCCACAAGCGTGACTACGGAATTATTGATTATCGTATCCGAATGATTCTGAAAGAATCGCGTACCTTATTGCCGCTCCTGAGTGCCGTAATGATACAATCGGAACAGAAACGATGCAGGCATTCCTTCGTAGTCATAGTCTTTTTAAGCATATCCAGGCAAATTGGACACATAAGCTCACTGTGTAAACTTCGCGGACTAACTGCGATTTCCGTGCTGTCGGTAATTGCATCCTGGGGTGTACGATGTAGCTCGTAAAGCGACAATTCCCAAGTTTTGTTCAGGCCGACTTGCTCCGCGGAAGCCATCTTGACCACATACAAGCCGTCAGCTGAAAGACCTGTACACACACAACTTACTGTGCGCGACTACCGCCATCTCGCGGCGACCGCTTCAACTTTCAAACGCGATTCCGGCCAGTAACGAAGTTAAAAAGCGAGCGAGTACGAAAAAATTGTCTACCGGTGCCTCTGCCACGGAATTCTTTTATTTCTGCATGGCCAGGTGCAAACTCTAATTGGTATTATATACATAATAAACAAGTTCGGTCACAGTGACTGCAGTGAGAGGTAATTGAACACGGGACATAAGATGAAGAAATTAAAAGATTGAAAAAAGAAACGCTGCTTTATAATTACAGAAATAGAAAAAGAATGCGCGAGTAGAAAATCCTTAATAAAAAGACAAGCATATAGCTCATGAAATTCAAATTGATATTTTTCTAAATTACAAATTAGCGGATGCGAAGACTACAGCTTTTAATAATCCAGCAAGAAATTAATGCGAATCTAACGGGAGCGTTGATGGTACGGTCGATAAAGTAGATTTCTGCAATTAAACGGCGGGCAAATTCAAAATGACTTAACGAGCGACCATGAGTAGATAAACGGTATAGACACCTGTGTCTCGCGGTAACGAGTAACATTCTCCACTCGATATATCGGCATTCGTAATCAACACCGGGGCGGAAACACGATGGTATAATCGCAGCGAATAGAGGAAGCGTGAAAAGTGCAGTAGTAGAGGGCGGGAAGCCGCATAAGCGTAGGCAAAGTGTGTTTCCTCGTTATAAATAATATAACGGTATATGATACCGTCTAAGATGGGCGTAGGCTCGGCCGTTCCCGCGTACGTGTTAGCTACGTCTCTCTAAGCGAACGAGTTCAGAAATACATTCGTGTACCGATGCAACATGGCAAACTAGACCGACGGGACCCGAACTCCTTTTTTCCGTGACCTTAACTGTAGATAACCGTAATTGCGTCTGTCGGTACTTATTGGGAAAACGTGTTTTATCACCTCTCTCTAACGATACCACCAGCATCTTCAATCACCACGCAGAGCATTATCCATCTCGCTACTGCTCGTCTTAACCTCAACGTCGTTCAAAGAAAAATATACCGCACTTATCAGGTTATATATTCGACGTCATTAGATTCGCGTGTAGCGGCTTGATTATATATGCACACCTGATTTCCAGGCTTCTCGATACCGGTATAGTTTCAAGGTAAAACAGGTTGGTTAAAGAGTCTATCGTGGAACATCCAGCGATTCGCCAGGTGATTCATATGTACGAGTATTAGGAACACTTATGTGGAGCTTGAAGAATTAGCTACCTCTGCCTACCTACACGATAGTTCAACGAACTAGGGTATTTAAGTGATTTACGATTTTATGGCGTTCTACGCGTCGATCACGAGGTGTTACCGTTCGGTCGCAAAAATCGGAAGAAACGTATTCGAAATTTATAGGTCAGTCGGTAATACGGGGCGACACCTTGTTCCACTTAACGGTGATCCTGCTCCGTCAACTTTTTAACTCTTGCTTAATTCGCTGCCTTTGGCGAAGGACGACGCATTAACCGTTCATTACGTTCTCTTTTCTTCTGTGATTCGAAAAAATCTGGGTTGAGCGTGACGCTGGAAAATTGATATTTCGAAAGACCATAATCGCGGAGCAACTTTGACCGGATCGAGATCTGGTGAGGATGAAAATTACGATTTATCACGCCTCGGACGATTCGAGTGGGACGAGGAAGGAAGGGGAGGGTAAAGAATTGCAGAAAACGCGGCAGGATATTAGAAAACTATAGAAAAACAGTCGCATTGCCACATTGACATGCTTTCTAGCGGACAATCTTTCTCCCGTGGAGCTTACGTAATTCTCAGCCACGATCTCCCGTGTGCTGCCTACATAGCTATGCCAAACCACGGTCACACGGGTATTATAGATATTATGTACGCCTTGTGTTTCCTTTTGGCGCATACACGCTCCTCGCGTGGAATCGTATCTTCATTTTACGTAAGCTCGTAGCAACGCCCATCGAACTAAGTCTCGGTCGGTTCACTGTAATTTTCGAACAATATCTTTTTATGGTGCCGATTCACTATGCTTCCGGTACAAACCCTCGTAATCTTTGGATTCCTATTCACGATATTCATCACGTGATAATTTTGAGAACGTGCAAGGCGAATCGTGCAGAAGAGGCTCACGGAGACTCCAAATGAACCACGGTGAAACGTTTATAATCGATCGTTCCGAGGCGATCCACGCGAAAGGCTATCGATCCCATCGAGACATTGCAAAAGAACCAACCGGCGATCCTCTTTGCGCGCTTTTAACGCAGAAGCGATCGGCACGAAAGCAAAAGCTTCGATTTATTTTCGTGGAATGCTTCGTCGATTGAACCAACGGGTGATCCTCTTTGCGAGCTTTTAACGCAGAAGCGATCGGTACGAAAGCAAAAGCTTCGATTTATTTTCGTGGAATGCTTCGTCGATTGAACCAACGGGTGATCCTCTTTGCGAGCTTTTAACGCAGAAGCGATCGGTACGAAAGCAAAAGCTTCGATTTATTTTCGTGGAATGCTTCGCCGATTGAACCAATCGGTGTTCCTCTTTGCGAGCTTTTAACGCAGAAGCGATCGGTACGAAAGCAAAAGCTTCGATTTATTTTCGTGGAATGCTTCGCCGATTGAACCAATCGGTGTTCCTCTTTGCGAGCTTTTAACGCAAAAGCGATCGGCACGAAAGCAAAAGCTTCGATTTATTTTCGTGGAATGCTTCGTCGATTGAACCAACCGGCGAACCTCTTTGCGCGATTTTAACGCAACGAAAGCAAAAGCTTCGATTTATTTTCGAGGAATGCTTTGACAATTGCACCAACCGGCGATCCTATTCGCGTGCTTTTAACGCAACGAAAGCAAAAGCTTCGATTTATTTTCGTGGAATGCATCGCCAATTGTACCAACCGATGATCCTCTTCGTGTGCTTTTAACGCAAAAGCGATCGGCACGAAAGCAAAAGCTTCGATTTAATTTCGAGGAATGGTCATCCTACGATCATTATAGGTACTTGGGAATTTTTAAATATTTAAAGAAAATGTTAATGTATGTAGCTTCTTTGTTTCCTCGCTTTTATTTTTGTTATTATCACTGTCCTTTCTTCCTTCAAGGTTGATTATACGTATGCGTGTGTAGAAATTAGTTTATCCTATGAATTATTCGAAGGTTGGAATGTGCTTGGCCGATTGAACCAACCGGCGATCCTCTTTGCGCACTTTTAACGCAGAAGCGATCGGCACGAAAGCAAAAGCTTGGATTCAGTTTCGAGCAACGCTTCGCCGATTTCCTCGCCCGACAACAATTTGCTACTGCACCACTCCAATAATTATCATTTCTTTCCTTACTTCCTTGTTCCCTACATTGCGCAAGCATCCGGAAGGAGCGGTGTTCTTGCCGCTTGATACATGGTTACAAGTATCCGTTCAGCCCAGGTCAAGCGTGAATCTGACCCAGTAGAATCGCTGTACACGGTGGATCCATCCTGACCCACGGATTAACCAGCAGCCACGTTTTACACTTCCTACGAGACGATCTCCTGCATCACAAAAGGTCACTGCCTCGCGTGAAAGGATCGAGCTTTCATTCACCACACGATTACGCAAAGGTTACGACCGGCTATCGAATGAAAATGAAGTTTTACCTTGAAGCACATAGCTTGCATTTCTAACACGAGGAATGTAAACAAACGAACTGAAAATTAACCAAAAAAGGAACAAAAAATAAAAAATGAAAAGATAAAACAGTTGTTAAAATACGATCTTACGAAGTTTGAATTAATGAAGTTTTACTTTGAAGCACATAGCTTGCATTTCTAACACGAGGAATGTAAACAAACGAACTGAAAATTAACCAAAAAAAAAGAAACCAAAAATAAAAAAGATAAATCACTTGTTAAAATACAATCTTACGAAGTTTGAATTAATGAAGCTTTACTTTAAAGCTCATAGCATTTCACAGCACAGCACAAAGCACACTTGCATTTCTAACACGAGGAATATAAACAAACAATCTGAAAATTAACGAAGGAAGAAATAAAAAATGAAAAATAAAAAAAATAAAACGGCTATTAAAATATGATCTTACGAAGTTTAAATTTTAGAATCAAATTAAGGCCGTTTTAACCCTTTTAGTGTCGAGCGAAAAATGGGTGTCTATGCGAAGCTAACCAGACGAACTTAACGAATTTACTAAGGTTTGGGAAAAAGCTGATAAAATCCAAACTAAGAACGATATTTACAAAATTCAAAATGCAGCGAATTACGGACGAAAGTGAGAATAATGTAATGCTAATTGCATTTCATATTTATTCAAAATCATACGAATAACATCGATATTAAACACGATGAAAAATATAGAAACAAGTTTCTCTTCTACAAACAATATTTGCACATAGGAATAATCATCGTTTGATCACAGCTTTTTGTAAGTCACGTAGTATGAAGTACAAGTATTACATTTTCGATAATTTTTAATGAAATAACCAATATCGGACAAGAAACTATCCCGTGTCAAGCTTCTACCTTATCGTTTCAGAGTATACAGAGCCTTGGCACCATCCAGCATAGAATATAACGGAAAGTTAAACCCAAAAACAATTTTTCAAATTCTTTTGCAATGAAATTAGACCGTTTACAACGTTTTATACATTTATTCCAAGATAGAGCTTTTTCGCAATGCGAAGAATAAGGCGCCATCGCATAAGCAACGATATATCGTCGTTGACACTTTTCGCAAATATAGTTAACAACGATATATCGTCGTCTGATACTAAAGGGGTTAAGACAGAAAGATAACACACGTGAGCACGATAAATCTAACTACATGCAACTGAAACAGCGATTAGCGTAGCCTGGAAAATATTTAATTATTCCAAAGTGGATCATATAAATAATCAGTAGCCCCCGTTCCACTTTGTTAACAATGTAACCGAGTTGAAAAATGCGACCACTTTAATCCACAATTAGTATCCACAATTAGTATCACGAACGAAAGAAAAACGACGAACGGTGTAAAAGTGTGAAAAGGCCATAAGCCGGTGACGTTGTGATTCGAGTAACCAAGATGTACGATAATAATTGCAAGATCCATCTCATTAGTACATTCATAGCGTTTCCTTGTTCCCGACATTGCACAAGAAGCCGGAAGCGGCCACGGTTTCTTTTCGCTCAATGATACACGAGTGCAATCACTTATCTCGTGCACCGAACGGGCTAATCCGTTTTGGCCAGCAATCCCCGCAGCGTTCCACCGACGCTGTTCGAACCGGAGAAACCAGTGGCTTCCTATTTTAATTTCTTTCGGATTATCCGTGTATGGGAATACGTTATTTAAACCCGAAACCAGTTGGTCCCAAAAGAAACCAAAAATAAAAAAGATAAATCACTTGTTAAAATACAATCTTACGAAGTTTGAATTAATGAAGCTTTACTTTAAAGCTCATAGCATTTCACAGCACAGCACAAAGCACACTTGCATTTCTAACACGAGGAATATAAACAAACAATCTGAAAATTAACGAAGGAAGAAATAAAAAATGAAAAATAAAAAAAATAAAACGGCTATTAAAATATGATCTTACGAAGTTTAAATTTTAGAATCAAATTAAGGCCGTTTTAACCCTTTTAGTGTCGAGCGAAAAATGGGTGTCTATGCGAAGCTAACCAGACGAACTTAACGAATTTACTAAGGTTTGGGAAAAAGCTGATAAAATCCAAACTAAGAACGATATTTACAAAATTCAAAATGCAGCGAATTACGGACGAAAGTGAGAATAATGTAATGCTAATTGCATTTCATATTTATTCAAAATCATACGAATAACATCGATATTAAACACGATGAAAAATATAGAAACAAGTTTCTCTTCTACAAACAATATTTGCACATAGGAATAATCATCGTTTGATCACAGCTTTTTGTAAGTCACGTAGTATGAAGTACAAGTATTACATTTTCGATAATTTTTAATGAAATAACCAATATCGGACAAGAAACTATCCCGTGTCAAGCTTCTACCTTATCGTTTCAGAGTATACAGAGCCTTGGCACCATCCAGCATAGAATATAACGGAAAGTTAAACCCAAAAACAATTTTTCAAATTCTTTTGCAATGAAATTAGACCGTTTACAACGTTTTATACATTTATTCCAAGATAGAGCTTTTTCGCAATGCGAAGAATAAGGCGCCATCGCATAAGCAACGATATATCGTCGTTGACACTTTTCGCAAATATAGTTAACAACGATATATCGTCGTCTGATACTAAAGGGGTTAAGACAGAAAGATAACACACGTGAGCACGATAAATCTAACTACATGCAACTGAAACAGCGATTAGCGTAGCCTGGAAAATATTTAATTATTCCAAAGTGGATCATATAAATAATCAGTAGCCCCCGTTCCACTTTGTTAACAATGTAACCGAGTTGAAAAATGCGACCACTTTAATCCACAATTAGTATCCACAATTAGTATCACGAACGAAAGAAAAACGACGAACGGTGTAAAAGTGTGAAAAGGCCATAAGCCGGTGACGTTGTGATTCGAGTAACCAAGATGTACGATAATAATTGCAAGATCCATCTCATTAGTACATTCATAGCGTTTCCTTGTTCCCGACATTGCACAAGAAGCCGGAAGCGGCCACGGTTTCTTTTCGCTCAATGATACACGAGTGCAATCACTTATCTCGTGCACCGAACGGGCTAATCCGTTTTGGCCAGCAATCCCCGCAGCGTTCCACCGACGCTGTTCGAACCGGAGAAACCAGTGGCTTCCTATTTTAATTTCTTTCGGATTATCCGTGTATGGGAATACGTTATTTAAACCCGAAACCAGTTGGTCCCGCTACGAGATTAGCATTGGCCATTAGTACTCGTCAAAGGCAGAACTTGACCCGGCGTCGAGGTAAGTGGCAACGCCATTTCTATATATTTCAATCAGCGATGTAGGTCTTATAATTCTCGGTTACGTAGCACGGCGCTGCAATCGCCGTAAATTATTGGCTTCCCTGGATTCCTCGATAAAGAATCATCGACGAGGGCCGAACGGTTTAAAGATCGGGGAGATCAATTTTTCATCACAGGCGAACCATATTCTAGGCTGCCCGATGAAAGATGAAGTTATTAAAATTTACAGTAATCGCGAGGAAACGTTTAACCGTGGATCAAACGGTATATCAAGATGATCGACTTGGACAATGGGACGAAAAACCGAGGAACAACCAGCCAGTGACGATAGGCGGCAAACAAACGATAAATCGCTCAGTGAAAATAACGTTTTTCTTCGGGGTTTCCCTGCTCCGCTGATTAAAGGGGTCTACTCGCGTGCTTGTTACAGTACAGACCCATTTTCAGGCATGAAAACCACGCTTCATGCGAATTCTATCCCGCAGCGGTACTTGATTACCTTTCATTAGAAAATCACAGTAAAATCAGCGAACTGGCCTAACGGATTTCAACTCGGGTGAAAACTAACAAACACTGGCAACATTTTTCTCCTACTCGCTGGCGAATAATCCGCGGAATAATCCGCGGCGTATTAAAACGATCCGGATGCATCGGACCGGCTCGCAGGATACGAATTACGCGCGAAGGAAGTATCTATTTTCCGAGCCGTCTTATTAATGCACGAAGGAGGAGGCTTTACGAAGAAGAAGGCTTGCTTGGAATTTCACCTTTTACCTCGACGAGCCGGCCAATTCTGGCGATGCTGTAAATCGAGGAAACCTGCGCGCGGCTTCCTTCTCGCGCGAACCTTTTTCGACAAACAGAACCGAACCGAACCGAACACGATTTACTTTCTCCGAGAATCGGATAACCGCGCGTTCAAAATCATAGCGTTCCCGCTGTTTCGCGGCTAGGAAATCACAAGACTCGCGATGCCGCGTCCCGTGATGGTGATTGGAAAAATCGAGCGGTAATTTATCCGATCATTTATCTTCGTCTTATCAACCGCGTTGATCTTCGCCGCGATCTCCTCTATGATCTCCTGCACGATCGCCTCTCTATGATCTCCGGCTGCGATCTCCGCTGGGCGAGTGGATCCGGAGGAACCCACCACACACCATCGATCGGTGCCTGATCGATGCACGCAAGCCGGTGGGGACCGTGGTGGAGAAGCTCTGACCCAGTGAATCTGTTGCCTGGATTTACGCGTATTCGGCGCGACCTAGAGGGCATCGGTGCGACGTAGGTCGTGACTTGACCCACACACACGGTCCGTGAATCCTCCTGGACGTCGGAGGCGACCGCGAGGCGGGATGTAGAGGAGCTTCGTTGGAGAGAGGCGATGCTCACACGTGCACCTCGGGGCATTCACGAGTTGGCAGTCGGCTGTTGAAACCCGCCCGGTGAATGCCTCTCCAGCCTCTCGTGCACGTATTTTTACCGACCTTTCGATACACCCATGGGGTTCGCGTACACGCAGGAATTTCCAACCTAGGCACGAATTATCATACGCCAGCAGTGTAATTCGCAGATGCGCGAATCCAGCAAACGAGGATCCGACGTTGAAAAGCCGAGTGTGGTAAACGTCGACAGCCAGTGACGCGTGACACAGACTTGGAAGAAAGTGAAACGTGATTCTGCCGTGGACAGGAAGTTATAGGACGGCTCGAGCTGGCCGTGGAGTTTCACTCGATTTTAGAATCTACGTGTAACAACACCGCTCTGTTCGCACAGAGAAATTCAGTGCAATTAAAACGACGACACGCATCGGCTGGGACCTCATGCGAGACCGTTCGAGCGATCCGAACGTGTAGATTGCGGTTCGACTTGGTCGTTGTGTCTGCTCGCTGTATTGGTAAATATTGCCACTCGAATACCAGCAGGAGATATCCCGAAGCTCACCAAGGCCTTGGAACTCGATTTATGAATTTTCGAGAGCAACGATATCCCGTATTAAGAATATCCCGACTGGTTCCCGACTGTTCCAGAGAAAACACCTCGCGCAGTGCTACAAATAACAGTTCCACGAAAGAAAGGTGCAAGAAATCGGCTGCCTTAAACGGAAGAAAAATGCTCCTCGCTCCGAGCGAGCAATGCAGAGTAATAACGGTTCCAACGATTTTTCGCGTGTCAGTGGATCACTAGGTTTTCTCTAGCCATCCCGTCTGCTTGACTTTTTGCAAAAGGTCACATAGACGAGTATATTTCGCTGGTCGCGTCGTTGTTCGCCGAATCGATTAATTCCTCTTCGCGTCAACGCGTGTTTACTTTCCATACACGAACAAATTGTTCTATCAGGCTGTCTATTAGACTCTTATCGCGATAAATCGCGGATAAGACCGGGAGCCGATTGGACGCGAGCAGCATGATTCGCTCGAAATTTACATCGGGACGCCGTTATGTCGGTTTGCGAGAAATTTGCACGACGAAACGTCTAATGTGGCACTCGGCAAGATGAATGGCCGTGGAGGTTCCGCGACAGGACGCGTTTCGAAGGAACTCGTTCTTTTCCATTCGAGTGCGCCAACGGTGGCGGTGCATGATGGCAGAGCACGGTGAACAAGTGTGGGAATCGTCGGGCTACCGGCTACAGTGACACTAATGACGTTAACGACACGAAGATAATATGTCGCGTGAAACGTAGCAAGGACACGCGTACCGGTGTCGGTAACGAGACTTTAATTGTGCGGAACTCGGGTTAATTAAAGAGAAAAAAGAAGGAATCTTGATGGAACGATTCGAGAATGGAGGTTGAACCTGTAATCTGAAAGTGCACGTGAGTGTACATCGATGATGTTATTCCACCAGAATGCTCGTATCTCGACCGATCGGTATAAATATGCGATTAAAGGCGTAGAAATCGTATAAACGATCACGCGGTGTAGTCGTAAAGATAATTTATGGATCCGTATGCCGAGATATGATAATAAAGTCACGTTGCAGAGACGCGCTTCGCTGTCCTTTCGCCGCTGGAGAAAGAAGCGCCAGGTACACGCAGCTATTTTATAAATGCTCCCTTCGAGGGGTCAGCCAAGCCCGTAATTACGCAAGTACTAACACAGTCGCGAAGGCAGAGACAATGCAGGAGATAGCGAGATATCGGTGAGACATCGTGCGAAAAAAATTCCTCATTGCCCAAGGAATGTGGGCGTATCGGGCGAGATATCTAATCGATAAGCAGAAAAATCTTGCGGGTAAAGAGGATTACAAAAAGCATTCTACACGCGGTGAATATCGTTAACATTTCCCTTAGCACTTGGACGAACAGTGCTGAGAGAACGGAAGAGACTCCGAGAAGTCAAAACGCAGGAAAAAAGTGTGAACCGAAGTGTTATTTTTCTCGCGTTCTTTCGCGTATTCGTAAATTATGCGAATTTATTATTAAATGAACTTTTAAATTTCGATGAGGACTGGTTAAAGTAGAGGAAATTCGAAGAAACTGCAACTAGGAAGTCGGAGGTTACCGACAGAGGGTAAAATGGGAAATACAAGATCGCAACCTTGCCGACGGGGCAAGTCGCTTTATCTGTTCTACCTTATCCATCGAACATGGAGTATCGTGATTGATCATCGGAAGGACCAAGGGCGCTCGGATGATACCGATCGAGAAACTGATTTATCATCGAGGTGCAGTGGATGCAACGCGTGCGATTATGGTCAAGACAGTCTTACGTTCGACAGGTAAGTCAGTTTTCTATCATACCACGAATTATGCGGGAAAGAAACGAGACAGTACTTAGGGCTATGGACGAAAAATAACGGAGATTTATCACGCAATAAATTTTTTATCCCACGTCTCAGGGAAATGAATGTTCTTCAACCATTTTATTAATACTTCCGACAGTTTTCCTAATTATATATCACTAATTTAACATATCTCCTCATTAACTAATATCATTACGAAAATCGCAGCCAATTAGCTCGTACTGCTTGGTATATAATTGATAATTGTATTATTATTGTCTGCAGCTATATGTGCTGTAACTATAGTGATATAATTACTAATTATATATCAAGTAATACGATTATCCAGGTCTCACCACGAGGAGGTTGCTGCGAATGGAGACCCGTCCCTAACCACGTCCCAACCACCCACCATTTTCGCAAAAATTTACTAATAAATTTTACTAATAAAAGAAGCAAATAAATCCTCCTTTTGATATGCGATTGCAAAACGTTCAATCTCTGATCGTTGTGCAACACACAGACCGAAAGGAGCTTCAAGGAAAACCGACGCGGAAGACTAAATCTGAAAAGAAAATTTAAATTAACCCTGCATAATACTATATTTTTATTCCCTGAATTTTACTTTATTTTATCACTAAAGTACTAGCATTTAACTGCACCAGTCATTGACTTTTTGTCTACAAACTTCGATCATTTACAATTTTTGGGGGTATTCCTATCTACATAATAACTGAATAATTTTAGGGCGTTTTCCTGCTTATATAATAATTAAATAATTTTATGGGGTATTCCTACCTGTATAATAACTGAATAATTTTGGGGAGTATTCCTACCTATATAATAATTAAATAATTTTGTGGGGTATTCCTATCTGTATAATAACTGAATAATTTTGAGGGGTATTTCTACCTATATAACATTTGAATAATTTTTGGGGGGTATTCATACCTATATAATAACGGAATAATTTTTGGGGTATTCCTACCTATATAATTGAATAATATTTGTGGGCATTCCTACCTATATAATTGAATCATTTTTGGGGTGTATTCCTACCTATATAATATTTGAATAATTTTTGCGGGGGATTCCTACCTATATAATTGAATAATTTTTGGGATGTATTCCTACCTATATAATACTTGAATAATTTTTTTTGGAAGGGGGGACGGTGTATTCCTACCTAGATAATAATTGAATAATTTGGGGGGGGGGGGGGGGG